GAAATTGATACATTTGTTGAAAAACAAAGCATATCTGATTTGGGAGGAAAAGTTTCATCCCTTTAACATCTGAGTTATTACTGAAGGCATAGCATGAATGATATTGGGTGTCATTACTGAGAAATGTCAAACAACATCAAAACCTTACATTTGAAAACAGGTTTGCATTCCTCCACCTAAGGTGACGTTATCATTGGAAACAATAAAAGCTAATTGTTTTGATGTAGAATCTATAAATTGAATTGTTAGAGCAGAACAGAATGGTTGTATTGTAGCCTGAGTTTCGTGCAGCCTTTAGTTTTACCAGGTGGAAACATTGTCTATATAATGTGAATACATGTAGAACTAGACATTAAGCGGCCCCTGACATTAGGCCTATTGGAACAATAGTAGGGGCTTTTACCAGCTCGCCAACTTACAGGCATCCTCTGCATAGCAGTATGAATAGCCTTCAAAACAACCCACTCTGCGGTAACGAGAGTCATGTATCTGAACCAAATGCCCTAAGTGAAGCCGTTAGTCTCATCTGACTGACCCAAGGGTTGGTGCTGGTGTGACAGGGAGGCTTCCAAGTGTTTATAGCAGATGTCATGCTTTCAGTTCATGGCTCAGTGGGGGGGAGCAGACCCATGTGAGACAGTATCAACAGCTGTAATGTTCAGTTTGAGGAGTGTCATTCTCTCTGGGAGCAGGAAATGGTGTCCATTCAGACCAGACCTTTAATGTCATGTAGAGCAGCCATAGCATCTCTGTGACTGCACTCAGCCGGACTGTAGCAGGGCAGAACTGGGTGACTTTTAGTGAAGCCGTCCAAGGCCATAGACAAAATGGAACCACGTACTAACAAAAGGGACACAAGGTCATCAATGTCTCTCTTTACCTTTGGCCTAATTGTAAAACAAATTAGTGGAAGAAATGTGGAACACTAATCCATCATCATGTGAAATTTAGAGTTAATTTAAATAATTACTTATGGGTTGAAGTCAAATTAACATTAACATTAGAACTAAAGTCAGTCAAAATTGGACGTGCACGGATCAGAATCTAATCAATACACCATTTTCCAAGCTCTGTAATGAAAAGGATATCAAGATTAGGTACATTACAGGAGTGATAAAACATCCAAACATGCACACTTATCTTATTCTAGTAGAGATTAGAGGACAGGTCTAATGTTGTGAACAAAATGATCAAGTCAAAGTTATTTTTATTTATTTTATCTTATGTACCACATTTAATTTAATAATTAATCTTAAATTACTTATAACTTTAAAGAAGGCAACAATTTACAATGTGGATAAGGTGAATACTTATCCAAAGTGTGTGTGTGTGTGTGTGTGTGGTGTGTGTGTGTGTGTGTGTGTGTGTGTGTGTGTGTGTGTGTGGGCGTGTGAACAGCTTGTCTGCCCAAGGTTAAAACATGTGGGACAGCAGTCAGAATGTTATGAGAAACAATTTGTTGCTTAGACTGAACTCGAAAGAAGCTAGACTGGAACATTTTAAATAAATCAAAACACTTGTACATTAATTAAATACATTTGACATTTAGCTTGAGCTGGGTTCAATACTGTCTTTATGGTATTTAAATTGGGCTCAAGTAGAACCTTTACATGGATTTGGCTTGCAACACAAAGTGATACCGATCTCTGTCTGTTATGATTTGAAAGTCTCATGATTTAAAGTGTAGGGCTGTGAAGGAGGGGCCACATGAGAAACTGAAAATATTGTGGAGGGCCGGGCCAAAAGGCTGAACTCAATTCTGCATAATATTAATTGTATTTCTTTATAAAAAGCAGTAAATAGCATTGTTTTGACAAGCTGGTAAGAGTATATGTTATAGTTAAGCAATGAAAAAGTGAGGTTGCCTTACAAAAAAATGTCATTTATTAAATCAAATTTCCCAAAACAATGGTAAACAAAATGAACGTTTTTCACCATTTGTGACTCATATTAGTGAACATTTTCAGTCACATTCACTCAAACACATTTTGAGTTTCATTTACTGTTGGAAAGAGGTTCTTAGCATTCTAAAGACATCACAATATTGTCTTTGTACTCCAAATATTAAGCAAGATACATCATATTGAACTGTCACTAAACATCACTGAACTGTGATTTTGAGAAAAAGGCTTCCAAAGAAAGTGTCCCAGTTCACTGCTAGTTGGTGCCTTTACATGCCAACATTTGTAGTCTAACCACCTCATTTGGTGTTTTTAAGTTCTCTTTTCTTGTTCAGTGAGAGAAATCTAGTCTCTGCTGGGCTTTAACGAGTGCATCAAAGTCAGGTTGAATGTCTGAGGTGGAGATGCGAAGCACAGCTGACAGATGATCATCAGTGAGAGAGGATCTATACCTGGATTTCGTAAACTTCATAATTGAAAATGTTTGTTCACATATGTATGCGTGTCCATGCACTCGTTTACCTCCGTGAACAGATCGCTCCCTGTCGTCGTCCCTTTCATCGACCGCATTGCTGCCAGCTCCTCCGTAATCTTGAAGTCCGGTGTTATCCCGCGGACGAATACGAGTAACTGGGCTGTGTCGCGGACATCACAGCTCTCGTCCAAAGCCAAGGAGAAAAAGTCGTAACTTGCCACTTCACGTTGCAGCTGAAGCTCCAGATTCCCCGCAATGTCCTCGATCCTTCTAGTCACGGTTCGCCTGGACAGCGGGACTTGCTCAAATGCGGCTTTTTTTTCAGGGCATATTAGTGCTGCAGAGTCCACCAAGCACTCTTTGACAAACTCCCCCTCCGAGAACGGCTTACTGTTTTTAGCAATTTTGTGGGATATCACAAAGCTGGTCATGGTTGCTGCATCACTGGATGTGTGAAGCTTGGTAAAAAAGCCTTGCTGCTTTTGCAGCTTAGCTAGCAAAGCTTCCGATGTCCGCGCCCTTTCAGCGTCAGTCAAGTTTTTATATTTCTCCGCGTGTTTCGTCTCGTAATGTCGACTCACATTGTACTCCTTAAACACGGCGATCTGCTCCCCGCAAACTAAACACACGGTTTTACCTCCGACTTCAGTAAATAAATACTTAGCAGTCCAATTTTTGTTGAAAACCCTGCATTCAGCATCTACCTTTCTTTTTTTAGCGGACATTTTTTTGAGGGCTAAAGTCGTCTTGTGACAAGGATCCAATAATGTGCACGTCTTGATATACGTATTGCGTCATTATGCACGTGAATAAAAAACAACTTCAAAATAAAAGCAATGCAGCTTTAGTCCATGCATGAGGTAAAGTTAGAAAATATGTTTATTTTGTAATTTCCAATTAGCCTTACACGGGCCGGTCAGAGTCAACCAAAGGGCCGTATGTGGCCCGGGGGCCGTACGATGCCCAGGTCTGCTCTATGGGGAACCCAGTGGGGCACCTTGACTCGCGCTCCCACCCTTGTATACAAGTCCTAGATCGGTGCCTGAAGACCGTCCAAGAGCAATAACTAGCTTATCCTCTTGCGACCCCACTACTCTGTTCTAGTGGTGCTATGCCCCCCCGATCTGGAGCACATAGACTTTTTTCTCCTCTACCCTTTCTATCAGAAACTACACAGTTAACTGTAGTCCTACTCGACCAGCCTATACACACGCCATCATGTTCATCACAACGATGAAACACAGTTTTGTTCTACACTTGCATGCCACTGCCCACCCATGATCAATTAGCCTATAATTTTATGTATGCACCCCGGACCGGCACCAGTTCCTCCAGTAATGTAGGGAACTGTGGCGCATCAGGTAATGCACGCACCTCGCACTTTCCAGCACATCGTAAACGGCCACAAGCCACGAGAGTGCTTTTAAACCGTCTCGTTTTTAATAGAGACGGCGGTGGTGTGAGTTAAAGCTATAGACAAAAGCTGTGACTTTCTCCCTCTGAGTTCACTTCACCAGCTCATGCAGATACGGGGAGGTATTTTACACACATCCCCCGGAGCCGCAGCTGGAGCCGTGTTTTTTTTAGAGGCGCTGGGGGTAATATCTCTGGCTGCTTGTGTTAACTGCTAGTGTTGGCCGCTGAAACCCCCGGAATCTCGGCGATTTGTTCATTACAAATCTCTATTTTGATTTCACACAGAAGTTCCACTTTACTGCTGCCCTCATTAAGGTCTTTTTAAACATCTCCGTGTATGCCTGCACGGCACATACGTCCCGAGCAGCACACACAGAGGGAATCAGCCAGAACAGAGTCCCTGGATGATCCCCTGGGGTTACTTGCCCCAAATGTTCATTAACCAAAACGAAACGCAGCCGCTTAGCTTCACAGATAATTTTAGGATACCGTCAATCACAGATTCTGGTAAGGCCGGTGAACGGTCAGCGTAACGGGAGCCTGACAAAATACAGCCTACTTCTTCAACTGCTTACTCAATCTAAAATAAATGTATCTTAAACTGTATATAAATAGATATATTTTATTTTATTTATTGTATTAATCTACACTGTTACAATGCAAAAAGTGCAGGTGGTAGTCCTCAGCTCTAAACAATGGTGACTTAAAGTGGACCTATCATGCTATATTTGAATAATATAGTGTAGGACCATACCTATATATAAGGCATATTTATACTTTTTTTTTTTCAAAATACCAAACAGATCATGCATTTTAGCCATGCCTCATTTTGCTCAATTTGACATTTTTTAGCTCTGTTTTTGCAAGGGCAGATTCAGTGAGAACAGCACCATCTACAGGCCTGGCATATGTACTACAGCGTCTACAGCGCTTTCAAACGGCAATGGCCGTGGCTGTCTCCTCCTGATTGGTGGAGTTGGCCCAATAGCCGTAGCGCCACTGTCCTGACGTCAGGACAGTGTTCAAATCTGGATCAGTTTTTATCAGATCCGTTGCAGCCCCTTTTTTAGAGATTTGGGTATGGAGGAAAATAGAGAGGGTTGTGTTTTCTGACACTTGGTGAGTTCCCTGGAACACATATTCATGTATAACAGACGTACAAAAGTGCATTTTGCAAGATAGGTCCCCTTTAAGTTACATAACTCTTGGCAATTCCTAAGATTTTACACAGCTAGCTTAGGACCAACAAAAATCACTAACTATTTTCAATGAAATAAACATTCAGCAACAGAACTAAAAGATTTCCCACCTCTCGTTTAAATATTAATATTTTTCACAGAGGACATACTGAAAGGTGGTCAATGTTTGTCTACGGAGCTCTGAGGGAAAATTGGTCTTTTAAGTTGTGTTTGAACCCTCCTTTGTGTGACTACCAAAATAAAACAGCAAAAGTACCAGCTACTTCTTCCACTTTTTTCAGTGAATATTTAATCTACAAAAAAGTCCCAAATAGCATACCTTCTGCCAGTGGGCACAACTTCCTCCAGCAGGTGATGCCCCCCTCCTGGGTGTACTGGCCTATAGTGGTCTCCAGCAGAAACAGGGGAACTCCACAGGTCACCACAAAAACCAGATATGGCACCAGGAAGGCACCTAAATGTGCAAAGTATACAACAGTTCGCCTGTACTACAGATTATAGTTACAAGTAGTTAGCCTCGTATTTGCTTACCTCCTCCATTTTTGTAGCAGAGGTAGGGAAACCTCAACACGTTGCCCAGGCCGACAATATTTCCCGCAACAGCCAGGAGAAACTCCACCTTACTGCCCCAGTGTCCTCTCTCCTCCACTTGCTTGTTTTTTGTTGAAATCTTTTTATTCGTCATATCCAAAGTCATTGTGAAAGCTCAGTCTGAACCCAATCGTCCCATTCCCTTGTGTCCAGGTCCTCTCTGCCTTTATATTCACAACAGATTCTGTATCATGTAATGAGCAACTGCCTGAGAGGTTAATCAGTTCTCAGGAGAAATGTGGATTCACTCAAGGCTGAGAAAGATTTTCAATCTCTAAACAAACAACTATTTACATAGAGAAGTAATGTTCATAAATGATACCTCAAGTTTTTTTCAGATGCGTCGCGATTCTGAAGGATTCTGTAGGAAGGGAAAATCCTTTTTGAACTGAAGCGCAGCGGGTTGTTTTATCAACATGTTCTTGTGGTATGTTTGATGAATGTCTCATTGAAATTCAAGTTGCACAACTCCAATCCTAGCTTTTCAGATCTGTTGACTTTTTTATGGATTGTACATTAGGTCTGTGTAAGAACAACATCCCTTAGTATAAGCAGCTACTGTTAGCAATTTAAACCCTTTGTCAAGACTTCTGTTAATGTTATGTCTTAAAAAAAAATCACAATTATCAGACTCAATTAATGATGTTGCCTGGGTCAAGTTAAAGTAATAATATACTCCAAAGCATCTTGTATCATCTTGAAATGAAGCAGCAGGTAAAAACATACCATTACATTGAATATAAATGTATGAGGATATGTATAGAATAATAATAATTTAGACAAAAGAAATAGGTAAAATAATCAGTGACAGTAATGTTAAGACACATTAATATGGATGTGTTTAACAGACCTATACAGTCCCACTTTAAACAATTTCATTATCTCTATTTATGACAATTTGCAACGTTGGTTTAAACCTATTTTTATTTATTATTTCCATCAGAATTGTACAATTTCCTTCCTGAAAAAGTAATTATTTACTTATTGAGCATTGTATATTGCATGATATCAGGTATTGTAATCGCAAATAATTCAAGTTTGTGACAGTAAATATAAAATGTTTTATTCTTTATTCAGTGCAACTTCTTCACAAATTACAGTAGCAATCACATTATCATCAAAAAGGACAGTTTTTTTGTATTTTTGGATATTATGTGTCATTTGAATGGTTAATCCCTGGTTATGTAAACATAGTTTTAATTGCACAAGATATCTCTGCAGGTCAATGGGAATCCAACAATGATTCAAGGTTCGTACTACATGTCGAAGTACAGGTTTTGTTGCCGAATGTGCTTCAACAGAAATAAGTGTTTGACATCCTATCCCTTTTTAATTCACTCAAGTGCAACCCGAGGTACCACTTTATATAATCACTGACTTTATACACCCACACTGATGTTTGGATGATCTCTGCTTGTGAGACACTTAAAGGATTATCAGAAAAATAAAATGTATTTCCCCTGGAGGCTGAGGAATTTGGCTTAGACACAGGCAATACAACATAAACAGTTTAGTTGGTTGTGTCACTGTCACACCATAGCAACTTAATACAGAGAAAGGATAAAGGTATCCATCTTCTTGTAGAAAATGTTTTCTTTTAACATGCTGAAGGAGAGGTAGCAGTCCAAACATGTGACAAGATTGGTGCCCTTGAAACAACACAAGATAAAAGCTGCCGAATAAATGGCCCTGGAGGCACAACTGAATGCTCAATGCTGCAGAGAAAACCTTCCTCAACATTACATCATCCATGCTGCAAGGACTTATATCTAAATGTTTGTCAACAAAGCCTTAAAAAAACCGACTTCCTTTTATCTGTTTTGCATTACCAAGACACACCATGATCCCAGGTTATGATATCATATTTTATTTTACAAATACAACACATATCTTATAATATTGGAAGAGATTCATCAACAGAATCTAATCAATCAACGCCGTTTTCCCTCATGCAGATGCTTTATTTTCCGTTTTCACTCTGATGATATTTTCTTTTCCTCAGATGGGCCACAGTTGAGAGTTTGACTGTGTTAAAGTATGTGAAAAACAGTGTCTGTTATGTTTCATTCGGAATTACACCCTTACAGCACTGCTTTGACAACCATTTATAAACACTTTGATAACCATTCAACAACACTTTGATAACCTTTCAACAACCAGGATTTTAGACTAAAGCCCAGCCGCTCTGTACCCAATCTTAGTTTGATGACACTTAAATGCAGTTGAAGAAGAGTTCAGGGTGATTCTGTGTTTGGTATAAACGTAGTAGTGATCTGTTGCAGGTCTTCCCCTTTGCTGGGCTGCAACTCAGTTTCTCTCTTCTGGTTCACGGTGAAGTCAGGATCAGGTTGGCACAAATGATGGAAACGCTAAGAAAATGGGAGAAAAAGTCAGAAATACTTTGAGACTTTTAAAATTCTATCTATATTGTTATATAAATCGGGATTATACTTTGATTTATAGACCTCAACATGTCACACTTCTAAAAGGCCTTTACTCTAAATTAATCATAATAATGAAAAACACAATAATCCTGAAACTGAAACCTATTTAATAAATGAGATCCGAGACGTGAGTTATCGGTTATTTTGCTTGTAATTGGCCCATAATGAATATATCCAATATAAGACATAGTGATTATTCTTGAATTGTTATCATTTATACAGTTTTCCCACCTGACTGAGGCTCCCAGTCCCCGTTGCTAGTTTAAACAGCGCCCACCCCGGCACGAGCAGGATGGAGGAGAGGGCGAGGACCCAGCCCAGCACGTTGGCCCAGGTAGGGTACACGTACCAGCGGTTAAAGGTCAGAGGCTGGTACTCCACTAGAGAAAAAAATGAAAGTGCCCTGAGAAAAAGGAGAGAAAAAAAAAACAAAGGCTACAATAACATGCTGGGACATATTCAGGTGTACATGCACTGTTGGACAGTAACTATTGACTGAAGTACAATTCTGAGGTACTTCTACTATACTTCAGTATTTCCATTGAATCTACTGGTGCTTTCTTTTAGTAAATGTATCATTTGTTCTTTATACTTCTTTATTTTTTACCACTGACGGATCACTTTGAATGCATGACTTGTAGTTTAAAAAGAGTATTTCTAAACTGTAATGATCTGAGCACTTCGTCAGCCTCTGTGCACTAGACTAGAGAATAGACCAAGGCTGTGTGAAAATACATTATTCATACTGTATGTACAGCATTGAAAGTGACTCACCAGTGAGACCAGCGGTGTGAGGTAGAGCCAGCAGAATTTAAAGAACGGGTTGGCTTGCATGCCTGTCATGTCCTTTATGATGCCATACAACCGATCAGCCCCTTTATAGAAGAAGATTTAAGAGGATATGATTAGTGGATCAGGTTAGATGTGTGTGGATTATTTGATGTCATTTAGGTTGTAGTTTCTGCCTCTGCTGCTTTACATTTGATCTCGTTTGATCTCTCGAGTTTCCCAACTGTATAGGTCAAGCATAAATACCTGCAGTGCCAATTGAAACAGAATACCTACCAAATACCCATGCCAGTGCCAGGGTTTCAAAAACACACAGGAAGAGGATGCAGGCGCCATTACAAGCGTAGTAGTCAAACATCTGGAACACATACATTCCTCCCTGGAAACAACAGTAAAGATATTTACTTAAAGTGGACCTATGATGCTATATTTGAATAATATAGTGTAGGACCATACCTATATAAGGCATATTTATACTTTTTTTTTTCAAAATACCAAACAGATCATACATTTTAGCCATGCCTCATTTTGCTCAATTTGACATTTTTAGATCTGTTTTAGCAAGGGCAGATTCAGTGAGAACAGCACCATCTACAGGCCTGGCATATGTACTACAGCGTCTCCAGCGCTTCCGAACGGCAATGGCCGTGGCTGTCTCCTCCTGATTGGTGGAGTTGGCCCAATAGCCGTAGCGCCACCGTCTTGACGTCAGGATAGTGTTCAAATCTGGATCAGTTTTTATCAGATCCGTTGCAGCCCCTTTTTTAGAGATTTGGGTATGGAGGAAAATAGAGAGGGTTGTGTTTTCTGACACTTGGTGAGTTCCCTGGAACACCGGGGACACATATTCATGTATAAAAGACGTACAAAAGTGCATTTTGCATGATAGGTCCCCTTTAACATAGGTTTGTTCATTTGACTTATTATGACAAAATCAGGTGCATGGAAGCCTAAAATATAAATGTTGTATTCATTCAAATGAAGCATCTTGTGACAATAAAATGAAAAGATAGTATACAAATCGTATTTGGCAGCAATATTCTGCCATAGTGGATTGGTAAATATTTAATGTATGTATATAACACTAAACCCTGACCTCAGTGATCATGACGAGCTGACAGAAGAAGCATGTGAGGCAGAAGAGGAGGAGGAAGCGTTCCCGCCGGCCTGCCCTGCGCATCACTGAGGGAAACATGTCCATGATGGACGTCATCACCACCTCCATTGTAACAAACTGAAGGGAGAAAACACGAGACAAAATAGGTACATCTCAATATGTGAACGTGTTCTTCCTCAAAGAGTTCATGAAGAGGCCATCTCACTTGTGTGTTCAGACCCAGGAGGAGGAGCATGACAAAGAAACAGATGGACCACAGTTGGGGCAGAGGCATCATGGCTACAGCCTGAGGGTACGCAATGAACGCCAAGCCGGGACCTGGAACACAAGAAGACTCGTCACTGGCTATTATCTGCCTTTGTTGCTCAACCGATTCAGCATTATAACTTTGTAAAGCAAAAGTGCATCCAATGGCAAGTGGATTTTCATTATTCGAGTAACAAATGAATAACAGCGTCCTGGAGGGAACTGGGGGCGTTACTGGAAATCAGGAAGGGGTATAGAAGAAGTACAACAGAGTAAATCTCTTTACATGTGTGTTTCAGTACAGACTGAATGTAGATTGCGTGGAAAATAATCTTTGAAAATGATAAGGCCAAGGTGACTGCTTTATTGTCGTGATCATTTATGTGTTTTTCACGAGGAGGAAGAGTGGAATGTAGGAATGAAGAAAAAGAAAAAAGGAGCCATTAAAAAGTTGTATAAACACAGGTGGCTGTGCAGTGGAAAAGTCATGATTTAAGTAACACATTAAAAAACAACTTCCTTGATCTCTAAATGGAGGGACCTGGGAAAATAACAGGGAATCATGAAGGGGTTTAAAGGAAGTACAGCCATTGACTACTTCAAGCTACAGCGGACAAAATGCGATAAGCTACTGATGTTGACGCAGTCAGATTTTTTGTTTGTACTGTAAATATTTGGGCTGGGAAGAGAAG